GGGGCCCTTCTTGTATACTGGGGCACAGTATTTTAAGAAGCTGCTCCTTCCATGTTTGTGGATATAATGGCTTCCAAGAAGTGATTTTGTGAAATAGGAATTGGTACACAGTTCGCACTTGTATACACCATCCTGAACCTTTAAAACTGAAGCCTTCTTGTGGTGAACACGCACATGTCGATCAATCGCTATTTTTGTGCTGCTATGGTAAGTGCAGTACTGGCACTTATTCACGGCATACTTTTTCTTACATAAAAACGAGATCTTTGAAACTGGCAGCCGATTGGCCAGGGTCTTAAATGGTTTTATTTTGCTAACAGCTGAGGGTTTAGGTGGCTTTTCTTCAGTCTCTGTATGCTCTCTCTTGCAGTGCCTTTTCAGCCTCTCCACCGTTGAGCAGATATGGGGGCAGGTTTGACACATATAGCCCCTAATTTTTAAATTGCCAGGATTACCAGGACCATTTATTTTCAAACAGTCGTCCCAGTTTGCTAATTGTGCTATATCTAAGTGAAAATTGTCTGCCCTGACTTTGAGGGTAGGATGCCTCATCTGGAAGTGAGTTTGAACTCCTTTGAAACCGGTATTGACGTAGGTACAATACGGACACTTGAAGACATGCATGTGTGTTTCACTTTGCTCTTGCTTTTCCTCTTGGTTTTCATTCACAGCTTCATAGTGTTTCATTCCACAGTGAACGCTTAGGCCGTGCGGTTTGTTAAACTTTGCAGGGCAGTAAGGGCACCTGAGTATTTTGGATGAAGCTGTTGCTTTAGGGGGTGAAACAGGTGGCATGTCGAATTCCAGAGGCACTTGGTAGGATTCTAATGTCCCAGGCATTTCATTATCGTCTTCCATCTGCCTGTTTGCACTTTGTCTTTTGCCTTTGGCCGTATCCATGACAGAGCCGTCTTCTTTTACTGACCATGGATGAACATCACGGTAGTGCTGTGCAATGACTAACAATGAGCCACCCTTAAATGAACATGCTCTGCATGAATACGTATCATTGTGTCCAGATATCTTTAATGGTACGCTGTCATTACCTTCAGGAATATCATCAGTGCACTTCTCTTGAGCTTGTTGTCTTTTAGGTTCCCTTTTGGGACCAACATACAATCGATCAATCACATATTCAAGGCTTCGTTTACGCCCTGGGTGTTGCTCCTTGTGATGTTCAAAGACTGCTGCTGCGTTTTTGTGGGAGAAAACACACATGTCACAGTGATACCCTGTCTGTAAATGTCCTTGTTCGTAACACAATTTTAAAACATTTGAGACTGTGCACTTTGTCCCGTGGATGTTCCCTATATGCCTCTTCAAAACACATACATATTGAGTTGTGTATGTGCATCTCTGGCACTGAAGGGTCCTCTGGGTCTGTGAGGCTGGTTCTGAAACTGACACAGATTTGCAAATCATTTTCTTTCTTTTTTTTTTATTGTTTTTTACCTCTGCAAGATTTACTTCTTGGCTTCTATTTGCTTTTAGGTCTGATTTCTGTGCCTTTTCACAAACAATAGTGGTATACAGACAAACTTGTTTGCCCGTAATCATAAATCCACTATGTTTTCTAGAGTAATGCCTCAGTACCGATTGCACAGTGCGCTGTCTATAGTTACAATAGTGGCAGAAAAACATATCTTCATCGCCCTTTTTCATGAGGGGCTGTGGTAGATGCGTGGAGAAGGCGAACTCCTTAGCTTGAGATTTAGATTTTTCAATTTCATCCCGAATCAAAGCTGTATGTTGAAGAATACATTCTTTGTCATAAGTTAGGCCTCTGTGAAGTTGGTTTTGATGGTTTGCTACTCCTTTTGCAGATGGATTTCCATAGTTGCAATTTTGGCAGTAAAACAAATTTTCCGCACAAGCATAAGCATGTCCTGCTTCGTCATACTCTATATGTGGAGCTGTTTCACTATATACCTCAGCTTGTTGACAGGTTTTGGTTTTAGAGGATTTAGTACTTCCTGGAGACTCAGCTTCACTTTGAAGTTTCTTTTTCCGCACAGCAACACTATGACTTAGGATCTCTTCAATGCATGTTAGTGCTTGGAGAGAGTGTTTGGCGTTATGATGACCAACAACGCTTTTAATTTTGGTACTTGAATAACTGCAAAACTGACAGTAGAACAGTATATTTGGTGAACTGCAGGATAAACTGTCCATTTCACTGTAGCGTTTAGTGGGCGACCTTTTTCTTGCTTCTTCCACAGATTCCTGTTTCTCAACTTTGGGAGACTCTAAATAAGTCTTAGTAGGGTGCATATTTTGTGATGGCTCAGCTTTGTCTTTTGTTTGCTCAGAAGAATCGGAGATGTTGGTTTGAGGAGCAGCCTTTTCTGTTATTGTCAGAGGGTTTGGAGACTTATCTGGCGTCATTTGTGATGTAATAGACGAAGGGATGCGAGATGACTGTTTGATTTTGTCTATTGAGACTTCTTCACCTGGGTGGATTTTCTGGTAGTGGACATGCATAACAACAACGGACTTATGACTAAACTTGCAGGTGTTGCAATGATACAGGATCACGTCTGCTCTGTTAGGGGTAGGATGTTGGGGTAAGGGTGCATTTTGCACTTCCTTACTAGCTGTACAGGCACTCTCAGGAGGAATCTCTTCTTCTCTTCCTGGACTGGATGCTTTATCAATTGTATTTGACTGATATGATCCCTCTTGGCATCCAGTGGCTGAGTATCTGCAGTACATTAAGGAATTATCCAATCGATGTGTTGGGTGATTTTCCTTGAAATGTTTAATCAAAGACTCCAACATGTTGGTCGTAAACAGACACACAAAACATTTGAACACCAAACTGAGTTCATGTGAATGCATCTTGAAGACATTTGGGGCCTCTGGATGATTTTCAGTGTAGTGTTTCTTGAGGTTAGCTACACTCAAAAACTCAACTGGACACTGCAGACAGCGAAAGGTAGCACTCGCATCACTTGGATCCTTTATGTAAGCAACATTGTATCTTACATAGGGGTGGTTGTTCTGATAATGGGTAGACACATTCGTGATGCCTACATCTCTGTATTCACAGTGCTTACAAAGATAAACCAGTGAATTGTCTGTGTCTCCATTGACACAATGACGTTTATTTTCTCCTTCATCTTCGCTCACATCAAATGAAAACTCTGTGTTGCTTGACGGTTTTTGTTGACTTGTGTTTGCTTTCTCTGATAGCTTTGTCCTTTCTTTGTTCGTCTTTGATTTTTTAGCTGGTGGGCTTCTTGATCTTTCATTGTTGGTCCTCTGGCCACCTTTGTCAGGAACCATGTCTCTTGATTGAACCATGGGCTTTGGTTGTTTCAGGTCAGTACTTAAAAAGTGGTCATTCAGCAAAAACTGTTGAGAAACATGGTTTAGGTCAATGATAGACTTTGCATTTACTTTAAACACACCACTGCTGTTTGGACTGGAGCTTGGGGGAGATTCCTGCAAAATAATGGTCGTTGTGGTGCATTCTGGAAGCTTTGCGCTTTCAGCTAACTTCACTGTGGTTTTCCCATTTGATCCCGATGCTGCCACAAAGTACTTTGTAATGGTTTGCAATTGCCTCTTGTATGTCTTCCGATCCTTGGATGTGGTAAGTGTGGGTTTCGATTTTGAGGTAGACATAACTGAAAGACAGGAGGGAATCTCACTTGCTCCTACTGCAGCATCACCACGCGCTTTTTTTGAGACTTCAGATATCTCGGCACCCGGGTTTTCAGAGATGATTACATTTCCAATTACATTCTGATCTTCTGTCTTTATTTGACAATGTTTCTCATGACTTTTTAAAACGTCCAAATCTAAAGCTTTAAAATCACACTGCTGGCATTCAAAACCATCTTCTGTATTTGTGGAATTGTAGTCAACATTTGCGTTGTTAGTCCCAGGGTTTTTTAAATCAGCCTCTCTAAGAGCACCTTCCACATCATAGCCATGCAAATTTTTGAGGTGTTCAAAAAGATAGACCTTGGATTTAAAGGGGACAGTACAGTGTCTACACTGGACAGACTTGGTTGTGGTTTCTTGAGAGATAACGGGGTTCTCTTTCATGTGGCCAGAAGAGGAAAAGTGTGTTGAATCTAAGGAGGTAAATAACAGATACTGTTGAATAAAACTCAACGTGATGACATGCATTACACTGAAACAGCATTGTCACTAAATAGAAAGTGATAAATACCTTGTTGCATCTTGGACTCCTCTCCAAACACAGAGAATGAAGACACAGCTGTGACTCACCTAGAGGATTGAAAGCATAAATGATTGGGTTGCTGAAGGTACAAAACCAGCAAACCACATGTGATTTCTACTTTGTTAACACTGTTTTTAAGTTAAGTGTTCTACTGAGGGCTTCTACATGGATTCAAAAGGAAAAAACAATATCAACAAGGGATATACTGCTACTAAAGCAGTTCACCAATGGTTCACGAAACAACTTGGGACCAAAGTCAGGTATGTTCAACAGGAAGGAAACGAAGAGCAAACCCAGCAGCCCATTACCAAAAAAAACTATTTGAAAAACACAATGAAAAGACATAGTACACAAATATAACTAATTAAAACCTATGTGCAAATAAATAAAGTACTCACGCATGTAGACAAGCCCAATATTAGGCTTATAATACAATATTTTGAATCGATGATGTTGTTAACGTAGAGAGAGGACACATTTCCGCCATTTTTCCCGCTAGTCCAACTCCCTCTGGCCTGCTTCCGGTCCGACATCGGAGGATGTCACTTCACTTCCGTCGAGAACCTCTTAACCTTCAAAATAAAACAGATTTGAGGCACTTTGCACAGACAAAGAAGGACTTGAGGAGACGATAAAGTAACTGGTGAAACATTAATTTACCAGTGAATTCTTGTTATAGGCTACATACCTGTATTATAATGAGCTGATGGAGCACAGGCGATGTTCTGCTACTTCGACATTTGTGTAACGTAACCCCCGGAGCCGTATCCGTTTAACTTTTCTTTTTTTTTAACCCAGACTTACACCTTTTCCATAAAAAAAATGGTCACTTTTTAAAATATATTTGAATGTCTTAATGCTTTTAGTTTTTTACGGATCGGCTCAGAGAACATTTTGATCGATTGAGTTATTAATTTAACTGATTCAAAATAAATAATAACCTATTACATAATTACGGCCATGTACATTTCGTTTTAGGTTTGTAGTGAAAAACACATGTGCCGACCATAGGGGCCGACGGATCTTGCAGAACGCTGTCATTGGTTCCGCATACTGCCATTGTTTCCTCCGGAAGAATATCGGGCGGACAATAACAGGAGAGCAGAAACGTAGTAAGTTTTACCTCACAGTGAGGCTCACACTGAATTCGGTTTAAGACGAGTGATACAAATAGTTTGCTTAAGCCGAGTTAGCTTAAGAGTTGATTGTGATGATGTGCTATTAGGTACACTATCATGTCAGTATTCTGTCATATTAGTGTGTGCCGTTTTCATTATTATTCTATTTACAAAACTAACTGACCTTTATCAAGTGCCAATAATCTGCTCAACTGCAGCTCTTTTTGCGCCCATGTTCTTCCCAAATTCACTTCAAATCAGCATTGAATAACGCCTAATGCATCTTAAAACATGGCATTTCCAATTGTTTTTTTAATGTCTTTATAAATGTATGGAAATCTTCAAAAAACACATATTTTCAAGGCATTCAAAATTGTTCTTACCTCATAGTCTAATTTCTAAAAGTTCTGAAGGTTATAACATACATGGTTGTCAGTATATTATTCATTTTATATCTGACTATTATAACTTCAAAATGAAACAAGATTATTTAACCTGTCTTTATACAAAGTTCAGATTTATTTTCCAGAAATGTATGGTAATTACATGGGTTTGAGATTTGTTTTAATTGTCATTCTGTATATCTTTTGACCTGGAATGTGCACAGACAAAGGACACACAATTAATAATGCAGCTACACCCACACATACTAAGGCTCTGACGCATGAACACTTCAGTCTCTTTGTGCATCTGATTATCTCTGACACAAAAGGTATGCCTGTTGCAGCAAATCAGTCCTCTTTGAAAAAGCCATTGACAAAACATTGTGTGCTTTTTTTGTGTGTGTAAAGGGGTGTTGTTCTCTGAGAAAAAATGTCAATCTGACCTCAGAAAAACAACATGCTTGCAGCCAAGCTGACCAGCCAGTTACCTCTGGATACCCTGAGGAGGATTCATCATGGAACTTCTTACCGCTGTCTCTACACCCTGTCGAACATCTTCCTTCACACGGAGGGACGGAGGACGAGAGATGCAAGTCTCCTCTCTGATTCCAGTGCACTGAGAAGAGGGTTTTACAGCCAGAGTGCTTTCCGCCCAACATTTAGACTACGAGACACACAGCAATATGGGAGAAGATCCATCAGTCTATCCGCTGCTACAATAGTGAACTCAGCACCAAGGCCAATCCAGCCATACCTCAGATTGATGAGGCTGGACAAACCTATTGGTTAGTACATTCACTTTCATTACATCTTTCAGTGTACAGTATGTGTATGACATTTTTTTAAAGAGAGTTTGATACTGTAGGTTTGAAATTGTTTAGTATTACATTTAGTTCAAGTGCTTGGAATATTGTCAAACCTGTATTTTGGGGATTCTTTTTATAGTATTTCACACACTTTTGAATAACCATATGTATAAGTATATAATAGGATATTAGAAATATGTGTGAGTGATGGTGTGTCTGCGCATTGCAGGAACATGGCTGCTCTACCTCCCATGTGCATGGAGCATTGCATTGGCTGCAGACCCTGGACACCTCCCACATTTAGGCATACTCACCCTGTTTGGTACGGGTGCGCTGCTGATGAGAGGAGCGGGCTGCACTATTAATGACATGTGGGATAAAGACTTTGACAAAAAGGTATAGGACAATTCATATAAAGCCATTTCCAAAATAGCTGAGAGATACAGGTGGCTTTTGGTCAAACTTTTTTTACCAAACAGCTTTAACTGTTATTCTTTGCTCAGCCCTTTCAGCTAGATTTTGAATTAACAAGAATTATTTTAAATCCTTCCTCTCTTTGATAGCTATAAATGACATGCCACCCATGACACACAATAGGATGCTGTTCAAGCTGTGCCCGTCATTGGCATAGTCACAGCCAATGACGACCTCCCTATGTCATGACTGATTAAACGTGATAATGTTTTAATAAAGGTGTCCAGGACGGCCACTCGACCCATTGCATCAGGGGAGATTTCTCAGAGGCAGGCCCTCGTCTTCTTAGGAGGACAGCTTTCTCTGGCACTTTGTGTTCTCTCGTGTCTCAACTATTACAGGTATCAAGTGGTCTCTGTGTTTTCCTTAGATCTTCATATTGTATCATATAATATTATATGATCTGTATATTTTAGTTATCAGTTTAAAGAGAGTAGCAGAGAGGACAGAATGCTGAAGCAAGTGTGTAGGTCAGACAACAAATACTGTCTTCAGACTTTATTTATTGAACTGTCCCATTGGTTATGTTGCCATCTACTTTGACTTTGTTCAACAATTGTCTTTTACCCACCGGGTGACAAAATCCACATTCCAAACCACGTTCAAATATAGTAGGCTAACAATTCCAGGATGCTCTAATGTGTTTAATCACATGTTTAAGTATGCAAGCTAGCATGCTTTTCTGGCTATTCTATGTAATAAAAGTAAAAGAAAAGTGCAATTTATAACTAAACCGTACAATTATGCAGAAACACATTCAAAAGTGTCAGTAAGAGTCAATGTCTTCCAAAGTTACAGTCTCAGTGCAGAAATTCCTCTTTATGTTACAATCCCTCTACTGCAGGTCAGCAGGAAAACACTTTCTGGAAACACATAGAAGGCATTTAGCACTAAAAAGACTGTAACTATGCAAGATGTTCACTGGATTTGTATAACCCAGGCTGATGAAGCCTCATATTAGCTTAAGATAAACCTTTTTTACAAAACAAGGACTGTGGATACTGCCCCTAATCACTTTAATGTCCAGGACAGAAGGGATGTTTTTCAGTGAGCTTATCTGTTTCGATTTCCATATAGGCCCCTTTGGTTTTAGAGCAGCCTGTTATAACTGAAGCAAACTGTTTACCAGCTGCCTTTTTATAGACTTGTGCCCTGCAGTGTATTAATGCACAAGAACAAGGGATTTGTGTAAGAATGCTGACTAAAATGGACCTAAATGCAAATGTGTTCATATATTCATCGCTTGACACGTATGTACTCTTCCCAGCATAGCCTTGGGTGCTGCCTCGTTGTCTCTAGTCATCTCCTATCCACTGATGAAGAGGATCACTTACTGGCCGCAGTTTGTGTTAGGTATGAGCTGTATAAGACTCTCCTGTGGTGTTTTAAATCGTAATACTTCTTCCCATCAGGCTGAAGTCTGTCTCATGTTCCTAATGTTCTTTCTGTTCAGGCCTCACTTTCAACTGGGGGGCGCTGCTCGGCTGGTCGGCCGTCAAGGGCTTCTGTGATTGGTCTGTGTGCCTCCCGCTGTATTTCTCAGGAGTGATGTGGACGCTGATATATGACACAATATATGCACATCAGGTGAAGTTTACAGTTCCTATTTATGTTTTGTATGAAGCGCTTGGTTGACATATATATTGTTAGCCGCTCACATTTAGTAAATAAATAGTTCAAAACAATTTTTCAATCTAGCTTGGTTTGGTGTAAGTTGTCGTATGTTGGCGACATTTGCTGTTGAGATATCTGCCTTCTCTCAAATTGAATATATCTAGAAGCACTTGGCTTGTGTGTGAGTAAAGCACCATAAAATACATTTAAAAACTAATGAGCATTGTCTCTTTCCAGGAAACATGACTTGGTTACTTCAGATTTTCCACAGACCTTGCACTGAGCAACTTTCTGTAGAAACTATTTTCTGTCTATGGTATTACTCAGGGCCGCCCCTGGCCAACTTGGGGCCCCAAGCGACATTGTGAGATGAGGCCCCCCCCCAACCGACAGGAGTGAAAAAATTTGTTTGGAAACAAAGTAGGCTACTTTGCAAATATAATTCCTGTTTATTATTATTATCAACAGTTACTTTTGTATACAGTTAGGTAAATGGTAAATGTGCATGTATGTCGTTCAGTATTCGTTTACAGGTGAATACGTCTGCATTTCCTGCCAAATACTAGCCTCAAAAAGATTAAAATATAATGAATGCAAATAAACTACTTCTAATAATAATAATCATACTCAATTCAATAATATAAATACTATATTATTTTATTATAATATAGTTGTAATATAGTCAAGACAAAACATGCTTATGACATGCTCAAAAACTGATATTTCTTAAATCTGTATTCTAGCTCCCTCTGTCAGCAATGTATCAACAACTACACACACATTTCGATCAGTATTTCTCTGTGTTGTGGTTGACATGATGATGACTGTTAGGAGTTAAGGGGAGAGGCTGAGCATCACCATGAAATGTGCAAATTGACATAAAAATGCTCCGTGTTTTTTAGGCTGTAAACTTTAACTGTTATGTAAGCCAACTAGACAGACAGTGTATCACTCTTCCTCCTGTACATTAGCAGATAAAAGGCATAAAATACTTGAATGAATGTTAAATAAAGAATGCTGGAAATAACTGCATCTCCATTAGCCTATATGCTATGCAGAGACTGCCTTCTTCATGTCGTGAATTGCAGCTGATGTTTTAATATGGCAATTTGACTTATACAACATTCGCAAGTTGTACATTTGACTCATACAATAACCCACCTTCGAGTGATGCTCTAGTTTCTTCATGTTTTGTTTTTTCCCCTCTTGCTTGCACCGAACTGAAACTGTCTTTTCACCGACATCTCTTCACCTGCACTAGTGGCCGTATCAAAGCCATGATTGGTCAGATGTCGATTCATTGCAACGTGTCGGGTGCAGCAATGCAAATGAAATGATGGAAGCTGGACCGTCTTAGTCAAACGTCGATATTTATTAAGAGTATAATATGGCCGGAGAGTTCACAAGGCAAATTCACACTTTCATGTAAAGCAACCAAATCAACTCTGAGGACAAAGGACAACAGAAACACAGATCCATTGCAGAGAAGAGAGGAGGGACCTATATTCTCCCCCAACCATTACCAGACATCGGAACAAAGACCCGTTGTGCCAAACTTCTCACCCACAGGAAATCAGATGACCTCTTGACCTGTGTGCTTCTCACATTACAGGCAGGAGTATATGCGACTTAACGAAAAGCATATGTCTGTATCTTATCAGTTTCTCAGAAACGCTGAGAAACTCAAGACACAAAGAGATCGGATTAAAATATTCTCTCACAGTTTCATTCTTTTTATCAATTTATGATAACCAATTAACATTAGTCTAAGAATATTTCAGTCAATACTTAAATCAATAAGCGTCTTCAGAGTTGTGGGCTCACATACATCAATTACATCAAAAAGTAAAACAAGATTGAAAACACTTCAATCACCATGATTGAACACAGTCAATCATAATAGAAAAATCATCTCTCTTCAGTGTTTGGCATCATTTGTCAAAAGCACAATAATAAACACACATGAAATACAAAAATATAATAGCAGAATATATGTTTCAAAAAATAAGATCTCTTATCATTTATCACTCAGTCAATCTCATTCATCAAACACAAATTCAAAATCAGCTTACATCTCAAAGATTTACTTTAAGGCAATTACTTATTAAAACACAATTAGAATTTAGGATTATAAGAAATCCAATTGAGTTAAAATAAGAATCATGAGAGATCCAGCTAAAATTCCCAGTTAAGGTATAAATTCAGTGATGAATCGATCAATCTGTAATCTGTAAAGTTACAGTGTCCTCAATCTTTAACATTACTTTACGTTTACTTCATTACGCTTTATTCAAGAGTAAGGCACTTAGTAGTACATATATTTCATTCAAATACATTTGTTCAAAATCTGAAAAGGAAAAGTTAGGCAAATATTCAAAGACTTTTGTAAAACCTGGAAAGGAAGGTTAAAATGTTTAAAACTTGAAACATCATTGTAGGTCTTTCATGGATATACATTGAAGAGTAGTGTTGTTAAACCTGATTGCTGGACAATTAAGGATAGTAACATTATCTGTTATAATATTAGAAATATCTTATTGTTCAATACCTTTATAATCTGAAAATATCAATTTATTTGTTTAGTGTGAAAGTGTAATCTGATCTGACAAAATGTATTTATCACCACTATTTAACACATGTCTGTTCATCGGAAATATAAGAACAATCATTAATTGTACATCTGTAAACATCTGGTCATTCAATTCAACTGTTATCTTTGTACAAGAGCTGGAAGAACCTGTCCTCCTGACTCGTTCTCCTCCTCTCTTTATGACACAGAATGTCTGGTGTGTAAAGGCATCCTGATACTGTAGATTAGCACTGAGGTGCTGATTGGCTCAAAACTCTTCTTCATCAGAGCGCCATATTTCACCCCCCCAATTGCTCTGCTTTTGTGGCTCATTCAGTGAGCACTGTATGATCCCCCAGTGAAACGGAGGCTCATCTGCCTGCATTCCTTCTGCTATCTGCTTGAGAGTAGAGCCTATTCCAAGTGGCACATCCAGATGCCCCCCCCCCGTGATGGGAGAGGTTAGGAAGACATCTGCTCCTCCAAGAAACATGGAACCTTGTATGAAGCCTCTGAAGCCATCGCTCGTCCTGCAGAGTTGTCTGTTTGGGCCCACCAAGCAGAAAGATGAAGAAGCATCCCATCTCATCAGAAAGTTGAAGATTAGAATCCTCTCATCTCAAACGACCTCGTGCCTCCTTGCCCGTGGATGGGGGTGCTCTCTGCAGCCGGAGAGTGTGATCCTCTCTCTCTGACCCTTGGCCTTCAGAGCTGTCCTAGTTATTGGGTTAACACTTGATAGGGATGTTTTCCTGAGTGCAGACAACTCAAAGTAATGGATTAGCACATTATCATTCAATTACAAAAATAGGATAGGCCCCTCAGAATTATTTGGGAGCCTTCCTGACACATGCATAAATGTAAGGTTTGTGTTAGTCATTTAACATGCAAGAATCATATACTCATCAGTCCAAAGCAGAGACATTTTATTTTAAGTTAAATGTGAGCTAGTCCCTGTGGATATAACCCCTTCTCAATGATTCTAAATGTTATATTAATTCACCATTTACCGTTTGATAAAAGATTAGTTTAGCAGAAGTACATTTCCTCTTCCATAAAACATAGGTTTGAGAAATGAATGTTCCAATATGAAATCAATTACTCAATATAATTGACTCTCCCCTCCCTTTTCTTACATATGTCACATATTAAATAATAACTTAGGAGTCTATTTAAGCATGGTATTGTCTATATAAGCTATTAATCGAGAAGACTCAGTATCAATATGCAACTCGCAAATATCTCTTCTCTCTTTCCTATCCCTCTTCCACATCTCTCTCTATTTTCTCTTTCTCATCCCTCTCTCTTCCTCATCTCCCTCTTTCTATTCTCTTATTTATGTTAGATATGAAATAAAACATACGAGTCCATGTAAGCATGGTATCGGTCATAATCCATTCGAGAAGACTCAGTATCACCTGTGCGCAGCTAACAAAATTGTGAGAAACATATATTATGCAGGAAATGCACACGGTTGTTGAAAACACAAAGCATAGCTGATTTGGGAGGAAAAGCTTCATCCCCCTTAACATCTGAGTTACCACTGAAGGCATAGCATGAATGATAGTGGGTGCCTGAGGGTGTTATTACTGAGAAATGTCAAACAAATTCAAAACCTTACATTTGAAAACAGGTTTGCATTCCTCCACTTAAAATGACGTTATCATTGGAAACAATAAAAGCTAATTGTTTTGATGTAGAATCTATCAATTGAATCGCTAGAGCAGAACAGAATGGTCGTATTGTAGCCTGAGTAGGCTACCGTGCAGCCTTTAGTTTCACCAGGTGGAAACATTGTCCATATAATGTGAATACATGTAGAACTAAGAGGCCCCTGACATTAGGCCTATTTTGAAAATAGTAGGGGCTTTTAACAGCTTGCCAACCTACAGGCATCCTCTGCATAGCAGTATGAATAGCCTTAAAAAACAACCCACTCCGTGGTAACAAGAGTCATATTTCTGAACCAAATGCCCTAAGTTAAGCCGTTAGTCCCATCTGACTGACCCAAGGGTTGGTGCTGGTGTGGCGGGGAGGCTTCCAGGTGTTCAAAGCAGATGTCAAGCTTTCAGTTCATGGCTTGGTGGGGGGAGTAGCAGACCCATGTGAGACAGTATCAACGGCTGTAAAGTCCAGTTTGAGGAGCGTCATTCTCTCTGGGAGCAGGAAATGGTGCCCATTCTCGGACCAGACCATTAATGTCATGTAGAGCAGCCATAGCATCTCTGTGACTGCACTCAGCCGGACTGCAGCAGAGCAGAACTGGGTGACTCTTAGTGAAGCCGTCCACGGCCACCGACAAAATGGAACCACGTACCAACAAAAAAAAAGACACGGGGTCATCAATGTCTCTCTTTACCATTGGCCTAATCATAAAACAAATTAGTGGGAAAAATGTGGAACA